TATTACTATTATTATTAACTTGGTTTCATATTTTGATATACCACCATAACAAAAGACTTAATATTGTTTCTTAATAATATGTCTTAGAACTTGTAATTGCAAACCAAGTCACTAGTTTCCTAATCCACCGACTTAAAATAGAAATCAATATATTTTCTTCTCTATTGTGGGTATACAATTTGTTGAGCTTGTTTACAATTATGAAGTGGAATAGGTGATGAAATCTCATAAGTAGGTTGTCGATGCCTTTCTTCCTAATCAGAATAGAAACTCACTCTCTCTCTCTTTCTCTCTCTCTCTCTCTCTCACACACACACACACACACACATGCACACTCATTTCTTTCGACGTTCATGGCAATTATGGATATGGTTTCCTGTATTTTATTGGATAGTGCTATTGTTTGCCCAATAATTTGGTGAATTTCCATAAAAGCCTAATAATTTGTCAAATGGTAGTATAGGAACCAACCACCAAATAGTAGTAAAGGAACCAACCACCACAAAATTACTTGGGTACGTCAAGTCAATAAGCCATCCATTAATCTACACATAACTTTGTGACATACGTTCACCACTCATGCATCTATATCCCAATATTTTTAAAAAATCTCATTCACTACAAACACAAATTCACAATTCATGCATCTATATACAACCAGTAAGAAACCAGCCCATTCAACAATGACCTGCAATAGCTTCAACACAACTTATTGACATACATCCATATACAACCTTAAAGAAGCCAGCATTGGTGCTTGTCCCATATTGTTCCCAACATTAAAAAGAAAAAAAGACAACAATTAGAACTATAATAAAACCAAAGACTGTCTTGAGATGCCGAGATGCCTTTAGGAATATAGCAACGCCTATTTCTTCCCCCTTCCACATGGCTTCAATCCGAACCATCCGCTGCTTCAGTGTCAAATATCTTTTCCAATTTGTTGAAGTATACAGGCAAAGGCTTGCATTTGTACTTTTTCGCAAAACTAAACTCTTATAAATGGAACACACATATTATTGAATTTGTGTGAACATTGCATTGAAACTTGCAAAACCACAAAGAAATAGACAAGAAATGCATCTCAACTCATTGTTGTACAATGAGCCTATAGGACTGGTTCGGCACTCACCATTCGATTAGCCTCATATCAACCAAAACTTGGTTGTCTCATAAGTTGTTTTACTTCCATGTACATTGAACCAAACTATCTGAACTTACTCTTTAGCGGTTCCAAGTCATAAAAGTTCTTATAATTGCTTACCATGTATTGTATCATCTTGTGCCATGTGTCTTTCTTGAGCCCCCCCCCCCCTTTTTCTTGACCTCTTTCAACAAAAGATCAATGAATTGGGCCTTTTCCACTGACTCATATTGTTATGGTAATCTTTACCAATTATAATAAAGCCTCGATTCTTTCTTTAGTAGGTCAATGGTTGGGGCCTTGTTTTCTTGATGGGAGAAAGAAGAAAACCTTCTCTCAAACAACCGTGAATGGTCCACGCACTTGGGCGTTTAAAGTATGCGCTTGTACTCTTCTTGATGAGGATGGGACCCAACAACAAAAGAGATTTTATCGACAATGGTGTGTTTAAACGCCTACCTTGTCGTTTGGGGGTTCGGGGATAAACCGGGCAGTGCCCTCTTAAACAATTACGTAGCCCTCTAGCTGTATGCCAACTCGGTTTAGACTCGAACTCTCCTCAAACTTCAACACGTCATCTCGTTCTTTTAACTTGAAACTTGCAATGTGAATTCAAATGGCGCTCCTTAATGATAGTTCACTCAAGTGGGGGTTGGCTGGCAAAGAAAGAATGAAGGAGAAGGGATGATAGAAGCCCTTTTATCCATTCAGACGTTACAAGACTTAGCAATCAAAGCAACTAAAGAATCAAAACTCTATTGACTACAAACTCAAGATGACTCCACTTGAGTGAGTGAGGACGAGAGCATCTATGTCTCTTGCAACTCGATTCGACTGTACGGAGAGGAAGTTAGAGTGGCAATTTGAGTGTTAAAATGTTTAAGATTGCTCTAAGAAGTATCAAGTCAACTGTATAATGGATAGAATGAGTACCATCAATGCGCAAAAGGGAGATGAGTGAAGAATGCAGGCTAAAACCATATCCACGCAAAGAAGCAGACACAGGGGTGGGTTCAAAGGAGGCAGTAGGGGTACAAACGGATATTCGCTCTAAGGTGCGGCTCCATAGTCTATGAGTGAAGAAACAAAGAGAGAAGGAAGAAGGAACGGGGCTGCAAAAGGCTGGGGCCGCTAGTCACTGTGGCTCCAAGCGTAGTGAGGCAGTGAATGAAAGGAAGAAGAGAGAAACCAGGTGGCCAGATGTCAAGGCCGCAAGTTGTGGTGGCTTCGTGCGTGGCAGAGGGTAGAACATGAGAGAAGCGATGGGGCCGCACGTTGCTGCAGCTCCGTGTATGACGGGGCAAAAAAGGAAGTGTAAAGAGAGAGACGAGACGACAAGATGCTGGGGCCGCAGGTTACAACTGCTTCGAGAGATGAGAGAGACGAGGCCATAGGTGACTGTGGCTTTAGGCTCTTATGGGCACACGAAAGCGAGAGAGCGACGGGGCCACAGGTGACTGCAACTCCACAGTCTTACACACGCGGAGACGAGAGAGAGATGGCGCCGCAGATTACTATGGCTCTGGAGTCTTACACACACGAAAACAAGAGAGAGACGGGGCCGCAAGTTTGTTGTCGCTTCGGGATGCTACGCAACAAAGAGAAAGGGGGGAAGGACGGGGCCACAGGTAGCTGCAGCTTCGGGTGCGCAGAGAAGATGGGGTTAGAGCGAGAAAGAAGAAGGAAAGAGAAGGGAAAGAGGAGAGAGAATGGGCTTGAGGTGTGACCTAGCCTAGGTGCACCAACTTAAATGGCAAAGCAAAAATGGCACAAGCTTAATGCTTCAATTTTACTAACTCTTTTCCAACCCATTTACAAATGAATTGGGTTTCCTTATATAGAGCAACCATTAAACACAGGTAGAATGCTCAAAAAGTACCCAAATTATGGAAAATTACAATTACATAAATTTAAAATAAAATCCCATTTTTTGACATAATGACCAAAATACCCCTTGGATATTTTGAGCAAATGACAAAACCACCCCTCCAAGAGGGCCTTTTGCTATGGCTAGTCTTCGAGAGCTTTTTCGGATGCGTGCGACGACAATTCGAGCGATTAATCATCGTAGAATCGATGTTGATCTATCACGAACATTTTGATGGCCTTTGATCATCTTGAAACAGGCTTTTCATGAAGGACTAAAAATCCGGCCAAGTCCATAAACTTCGACCACCAATTCCAAGTCTTCATTTCGATCACGAATTAGAGAGCACATTGTCATGATAATTTTGCATTAAATTTCGTCCGATTTGGTTTCCATTCGAGCATATTCCAATTTTGGGAAGTCGTCGAAAAATGGGATTTCGACGACCGAAAACTCTTGCATCTTTTAACCTCAAAATTCGTGCTATCCGGCTTTTAATTGTGCGCAAAAATTATACCAAATTTGTAGCCCTTCGTGATACGGTTGTAACGGATCCAAATTTGTGACGAGCCGAAACATTGATCTCAAGTTATGAGTTCATAAAGTTTGGGATGTCTTCTTGTTTAAAATTCTGATTTTTATGGTTTTGGGCTCATCTTCTTTCCAGAAATTCTCTCATCTCGGGCTATGTCGTAATGTATGCCATATGTTACCGGGTCGTTAAGACCTTACTTGTGTCCAAATTTAAGCTTATTTCAACTCAAAACGAGCAAGTTATGAGCATTCGAAAATCATCTCAAAATGGAAAAGCACTTAATGAAAACTGGTTCACCGAGGATGCACCGCAATAGTGTAAAACCCACCCCTTTATGGTAAGTTGACCCTATAATGGTCCTGGAAAGTTCAATTGAGCCCAATTTTGGTCCCTGGGGGTTTTTTTACGTTCCGGATCTAATGACAGTGGTCTAATGCTGTTTTGAAGCCCCAAAGTAGGGATGTAATTATAAGGTTCCTTTTTAGCATGATAGGAACTAGATTTGAGAACCGAGTTTTCTCATGATCATATCAAAACTCATCGGAATGTGACAAAACATTGTGAGCGTCCTTTAGGTATACCAAAATACTATTTTCATGCCTTTTGAAGCCGTTCCAATAATTTTTTCAAGATTGCCAAATTTTAGGCTTATTGCAATGTTTCCATGGTATGTGTTTTAGGTATCGGTAGGACCAAGTTATTACTAGCTCTCTCTTTATGTGACTCAGGGATATAGGTACGTCAAAAATGACGTATAATAGTCAACTGGTAATAAGGTGATGCATGTCAATCAACACTGGCTCAACAAAGGAAGGAAGCCAAACAACACCCTTCAAATCTTAAGCCACAATCATGGTGTAGAACTATAAAATATAAAAAAGTGTTATGTGCATTGATGGAACAATACACTCCTCAATAAGAACAACCATATACAACCCGTAAAAAATATCAATGATATACCTTGAACATTGTTGAGTTGTTTTCAATGCTTGACAAAATCACCTTACCAAACAACAGTGACCTTTAATAGCTTGAGCGAAACATACAACCACATATTCACAATTCATACATCCATATACAATCCTATACATAATCTGCTCATTCACCAATAACTTGTAATACCTTGAACACAACTTAGTGACATACATTTACCACTCTTGCATCCATATCCCAATAACATATAATATAGCTTGTGAGAAATATGCAACCACGCATTCACAATTCATGCATCCATATACAACCATTACAAAACCAGCCCATTCAACAATAACATGTAATAGCTTAAACATACATAATTGTGAAATAATGAACACAACTTAGTGACATACATTCACCTCCTATGCATCCATATCAAATCAGTAAGAAACTAGCCCATTTAAAATTAACCTATAATAGCTTGAACATAACTTAGTGACATACATTCACCACTCATGTATCCATATCCCAACCTTTCAAAAACTTATTATTCAACATTAACCTGTAATAGTGAGATAACATCATTGGAATGGTTCCAAAGTTCTCTAATATGTTCTCATCTTAAATCTAAAAAAGAAAAAAAGACAATAATTGGAAGTATACTGAAAGCAAAGATTGTGCACATGTTATAGTTATCGTGTTTAATTACTGCATTGGTGCTTGGCCCAAATTGATCCATGTCGTAGCCATGGAAATGTTGTTGGTTAATGCAACCACATGTGCTTAATCTTTGTGGCATATTACAAAGATTATAAGCTGCTTCCGCTTCCTCCCTTGTTCCGAAATCCTTGAACTCCAGGTTTTTGAAATACTTAACCTGATGCTCGCAGTTGGCCCAAGAGTCATATACCCCTGGCTGCTCGACCTTAAAGACGACGTAGTAATTTTTGGGGTCTATTTCCTTGATAGATGAATAAACAAGAATAGCAAACCAAATATTAAACTGCATATACTTGAATTGCATGATATAGCCTATTGATATTATAACATCAAACCATTTGAAAGGAGCATAAACCCATCCAAAAACCACATATACTTAAATATATGGATAATTCATATAAATGTAGTTAAAAAATGTGCCATATGCATATCTCATATAATAGTGGAGATGTCTAAAAATTGTTTCACATGGTGGCAACATGCACATAAGCTTGACTAGAAATGGTTTTGAAATGGGAAAGTTGTCACAACATACAGTTCATATAAAAAAAAAGAATATACATGGCCAAATAACTGAATTCCAAGACTATAGAACATACATGGTCAAATAACTATATTTCGACAAACCTTCACTATTACTAGTCTATGAAAACAAAGAAACCGAATGGTTCACATATACTTTCCATATATGAGATGCAATTGCATTTCGCAGTTCAATGTCGTCATCATGATCATTTTGTTCTTGAGTTGCTTGTATATATCTATCGTCTACCCCCTCTGCATGTTCTCTTTCAACCCTATGTCGGAATCTCATTTCTCGTCTAGTATTCGATCTTCTTGACAACATGATGCAGTCATGCAAAATCGATGTCGCGATAACAATGTTGACCTATGTGCTAATTGGCCCTTACTTAAGGCATGGGCTTACTTTTTGAGGCCTATGTGTCCCCTCTGGTATCTAAAAATTGCCAAATCAACTTCTGTTGGCTCTATATGGTAGGGGCCTCAATCCCTTAACGAATACAAGAGAGAGAGAGAGACGGAGAGTACCGCCTGCTTGGTCTTGGAAGGTTAGAGAGGGAGCACCAGAAAAGTGAAAACTCGAAGACAGTGCACAAAGTTGGTGACTTGTGCAAAGGAGAAGCAAATTGGCAAAAACATAAGGAATATGGGTTTTGGCCCTTCTATAACCAGCACTCAAAGGGCTGATACCATGTAAGAATTTAGATGATTAACAATGATACTTTCTGGAATAACTCGTTAGTAAGGTTTAGATGATTAACAGATGCATAGATTGTAGAGAGAGAAAGACAACATCAGAGAGGGTGCAACTGTTTGACAAAGAGTTAGTTCAGAGAGTCGAAACGAATTTGAAGCTTCGCTGCGGATAGGGTGGGCAAAGAGGCGGCAACCTCAAATCTGAGGTGCGGGCTTAGATATGAGGTTGAGAAGCCTATGGCTCTGATACCATGTCAGAATTTCAGAATACTGTAGAGAACTCTTTGTATGTTTGATTGATAAAGAATATACAAGACCTTGTATAAATATACGGCAAGTAACAATTGAGGATAAATACCAACAATTATTGATAATTAGTAACTAATTTTATTATAATCAAGAGATGCCTAGACACCTAATCTTATCAAGAGATATATACCCATAGAGATACACATCTGTAATGATGTATATCAATACTAATACGATATATTTCTATACGCTAACTTAGTATCGTTCAAACTCCAGTCACTTTGTGTCAGAGTATCGTGTTAGCATTGATATACATCATTACAGATATGTATTTGTATGGGTATATATATCTTGATAATATTAGGTGTTTAGGCATCTCTTGATTATAATAAGATTAGTTAGTAATTATCAATAATTGTTGGTATTTATCTTCAACTGTTACTAGCTGTATATTTATACGGGGTCTTGTATATTCTTGGTCAATCAAACATATAGATAGTTCCCTACAGTATTCTGAAATTCTAGCAGATAATGCCAAAACAATGATTTGCCCATCCAATTCATGGGTGAAATCGGCCATCATTCTCTTGGGACGCTCCTTGAGGGTTGGAATCATAAGGAAGAAGCTCTTCATGTGCGAATGGGGCTCACTTTATCAATAATATTTGATTCTAAAGCTTGGTAGGATGAAACTAAGGGCCTGTTTGGTAACTGGGAACTAGAAGTTCTCTGGAAATTAGGATTTTTGGACTTTTAAGGTTGAATATTTTCATGTTTGAAATCAATAAAGACTGTGTTTGATAACCTACGTAGAACTCTAGGAAGTCTAGGAACCTGTGTTTGATTGAACTTGGGAATTTGGAAACAAAGAGACTTGGAAATGAGTCAATTATATCGTTCATTAAAGATTTTGTCATCGTATAATAATGTTTGTTTGAAGTTACAGAGATGTTAAAATCAATCAACATCCACGATATTTAAAATAAAATGTGATCTTTAGATCATGGATAGTAAAACTAAAAAAGTTAAATTTTCTCTTTAATCAGTAAGTTTTACCTTTTACATTTGCTACTCAAAATGCCTTTTGAGGGCGGAGCAAAGCCGTTAAAGACAAGAGAAAAGAAATGGTTTATATTCATAAGATCTAGAAGCATTCAAAAACCAAGCCACATACTGAGAGGACTACCCTTTAGTGTATGTTCCTGGAGGCATTTGTAGGGCATAAATTTGATCGACTCGATTCTAGTGAGCGAAAATGGAGAGAAGAAACATTGTATAAATAACCAGAGCAGTTCCATTGTGCTCTGAATGATAAAGAAATAATGTATTGATTTCAAATCACAGCTCAAACAAATGGAAAAATACTCAGCTATTGATCTAAAGGATTGAGATAAAAAACTTAAACCCAATCAACCAAACCAATCACTATGTTAATCAGGATCCACAATAATAGACCTCTAGAATCAACAACAATCAAACAAATTGGTGAAAACGGGAGAGAGGAAACCAGGCTAGAGAGAGTGGTGGTAAGGGATTACGAAAAAACGGGAGCGATTGACAATGGTCCATGTCATGCATGTAGAGCACCCAAAGATGGAGAGGACTATGAGTCAAGAGAAGAAGAGTATGAGAATGTAGGTGGTCCACACACCAGGGGACATTAACCATGTTGTGTTATCGAGATCAAGAGGAGGCACATCCTGCACATACAGGTTTGTCGTCCCTAGAAAGCTCAACCCATCCACCATTAATTGTGACCTTACCAAATCCCCTACCCTTTCCCATATTGGTTACTTATAGAGAGAGAGGGCGAGTGAAAGAGAGATTTTAATGGCATAGAGCTTATGAGAGAGGGGTTACGCAACTGGGGAGTGCTTATACAAATATTTATACATAGTAATATTTGTACTTACTGGGGAGAGAAAAGGGAGAAAAATAGCGTAGAGAGAGGTGCATATGCTTGAGAGGCCCTGGTCGATCAGTTTTCTGGTGGTCTTGGTTCTTTGACGACGATGGTGAGAGAGGAGGGTGAAAGAGGGTGGGGCGTTGATGAAAAAGGTGGAGGTTTTCTCATCAAACTTGAGCCACATGCACACTGACTTACATGGTGGAGGTTCCAAACTTGTCTCTTCCATGGGGTGGGATGGAACCCTCATTTTGGGGATAATAGAAGTTCCAATCAAAATTGTCACTATAGCACTTCTAATTATCAAACACGGAAGTGCTATAAAAAATGGATATTGCTGCTTCCAAAACAATAAGTTCAAGTTACCAAACGCGACCTAAGTGAGGTGGGCTCCTCATCGCCAAGGATCTCATTGATGTAGGGAATGGAGGAGAGTTATTCTTGGCCTCTAGTTTAGTCAACTAATATTCAAATGAGGTGTTATATGGAACAATGGTGATGATAGGTGAGATAGTTGGTATTGGGCTAGGGAAAGAGGGCTAGGTTGAACCATGGTTGAGTTGTCTACACGGTTACCAGCAGGATTGAGGGTTAAATCTAAGGTGGGGATTTCTGATCTTGTTCTGCTGGGATCGACGTGTGAAACTAGCACGAAATATACCTAGTTGTATGAAAATTGTAATAAGCTATGAGGGAAAAGGCCAAAGATAGGTTGTTGGGAATGCATAATTACTACGTTAACTTTTTTTGGGTAAGTACTTACTAGGTTAACTGGAGCAGAACTTGATTATGTGGTCAAGGAAAGATGTGTTGTATTCTATGGGTTAATAGAAAGTGTTAAGGGGAAGAAGGTTAGAGGGTGCCTGTTGGTTCATGGTAGGGGGAATGGGGATGATATAAGATGGAGTAGGCATTGCAACTTACTGATTTAGAATTTATCTTCGATTCAGGGAGAACCTTATAGTCCTCTGTAAACGTTGTAGATCAAGTTCCCTGATGGCTCAACATTTGACTAGGCAGGTGGCTAGGTGGTTTTTGCCCCTATATATCGAAGGGAGAGGAATCGATTAGAACATAACCTAAGATACAAACCTCCAAGAGAAAGTTTTATGCAGTCGCTTGCCCTTCAAGTGACGCTTAAGAGCAGGTCGAAGGCCATGAGCAACCCTTGGTGACAATTAAAATCACTATACCTATATTTCATTAAAAAAAATTGAGGGTATTATGGGAAAAGAAAAAAGGGGCTATCTTCGGGAACACGAGAGAAGCTCAAGTGATCTCTATAAAAAAAGGACAAGAAATATATAAAACTCATCCTTTTGAGGGTTACCCTTTGTGGTTCGTGGGAAGTGATCTCTTAGAAGATGGGTCTCCAAGAGAGAGAGAGAGAGAGAGAGAGAGAGAGAGAG